TACCTGTCAACATAAAGTAAGCTGTCTGTTTAGTTCGATTGTTGAAACATCTGTTTCTCACTACAGCAGCTGTCTGGACTGCATACGCCCACAATGTTCTTGGTAACCCACTTTCTATCAGCATGCATCTAGCCATGTCAAATAAGGTTCTCCAGTTCCGCTCAGCCCGTGCCGTTCTGGTGTGGAGAGTACGGCGCTGAGGTCTCGTGTCTAATACAGTTTCTGCTTAATAATGCCTGGTACTCCCTTCCTGTAAATTCCATACCATTGTCAGACCTCATGCATTTTACCTTTCCATATGGAGCCATATCGGCAAGGAATTTTTCTGTGGCAGTCACTGTATCCCCCTTGTTTTTCAAAAAATAAACAAACACTGCACTGGAGTAAACATCTGTGAAAGATAGTGCATACTTATGACCCTCTCTAGATGCTGGGTCTATAGGCCCTGCTAAATCTGTATGTATCATTTCTAGGGCTGCTTTGGCTCTTGCATCAGGCCCTCTGTTCCTAGTTTGAATAAACTTTCCCTGTGTGCAAATTTCACAGCGTGGGATAGGTTTATCCATACCCGCAATTTGCACACCGTCAACAACTTCCTCCAATTTAATTATATCCCCATGATTGCAGTGCCCCAATATTTCATGCCATGTCTGCAAATCATAACACTTCTTACATTGTTCAACACCTTCATTGTCTATTGTGTGCAAATAGTACAGTTTGTCGTGCACATGTATGGGGAATTTGGTATCGTCCTTATGTAGCAGAACGTTCTTCCCTTCTTTGAAGATCACCGTTGCTCCATTCAAAGAGGCTGCTTTCACAGAGAAAATGTCCTGTGGATATGTTGAGAAGTGTAGCGCGTTTCTTAGCATTGCTTTGACGCGCCGTCCCGTGCTGTCAGCCAATTCCACGCAGTGTGTTTTGGCCTGGAAACTGCTGTCAAAACTCTGAAACTTCTCGATGTCCGTGATGATGTGTGAAGTTGCACCTGCATCCACCATTAGGCCTTTCCTCTTGGTATTCTGTACCCGCATTTCAGCGTCGCTTGCCCGGAAAGTATACTCCCTGTCACTTGGCTCTGCGGAAACTTTTTGTGCGTTATCCCGCTGCTTTCCCCATCTGCATGTTGCATCACGGTGAGTGGTACTTCTGCACTGACTACACCACAGTTTACGTTGACATGTCCTTGCTTTGTGGCCTTTTGTACCACACCTGTAACAAACAAACATGTTGGTACTTCCAGCCCCACAAACAGTACTCGCTACAGCGGTTTTTCTGCCAGGCTGCGCTCCTGCTTTCATAACATTGTCCTCGGATATTGTCCTTCGTAACTTCGAAGCCTTGTTTTAAATTCCGCAAAAGTAAATTTATCATCTCTCTGGGTTACATGAATGGCAAATGGCTTAAATGTCTCTGGAAGTCCTTTCAGAACCATTGCTACTAAAAGTCCATCACTCAGATTCTCACCTGCGTTCCTCAAAGCGGTGATTGCGGTCTCAGCCCTGATGACATAATCAGTAACATACTCACTGTGCGACTTTTGCAGTGACGTTAGCTCTGTGTATAAGCTAATTACTCTAGGCTTTCCTTTGCCAGCATAATATTCCTGAAGAATCTTCAATGCCGCTCTTCCATCGTCTGCTGCTTCCCTCATAACCAGCGACAAACTTTTGTCATCCAGGAACTGTATCAGCTCTGCATAGGCTTCGGCGTTTTTCGCCGTATCTTCCTCGTCTTCCTCAAAAGACTCGCTTAAAATAGTCTCTTTCAGTCCTTGCAAATAAAGATGGCCCAAAAACATTGTCTCCCATAGCTCGTAGTTTTTCTCGTCTCCGTCAAAGACTAATCGAGACCAGCGGCTTGTCACGGTTTCTTTTTCTCTTCTTCTCATGTTGAAAGACTTGGGTACATGCTATATCCGTCGCGACTTTTACCCAGCGTCTTAACACTCTTAACGTTTTCTACTCTGCTCTGGGCCCATAACCTGTTAACAGAGTACACTAAATAACAAACGAGAAGATACAGCTTTACCAACCACTCAGTCGCTCTGACTGGCGCATTTTTATTAGAACAGAAAAACACGTGCATTCCTTCAGTCACTGATTAGGTCACATGACATCTAGTGACATGACACATTAGACATCTGGATTGCCTGTCCCAAATAGAAAACAAAAATACAAATACAAATGAGAGCATACTATTTCTACATGTCAACACCCCCACTTGCTCTCAAATTGTGATTCCCTCATTCCACAGCTCATATCTACCCAGTTCATAAACCGAACATAAACAAATTAAATTTCATCAACTTAAGTTTTGTTGCTGGTTTAGTTAGTACATCTGCAAACATATCTTCTGTTGGACAGTACTCCAGACTAATTCTCCCTTCATTAATTACTGACCTCACAAAATGGTATTTAATGTCAACATGTTTACATCTTTGTCTATACACAGGATTTTTCGCTAAAGCTATAGCACCCTGATTGTCTTCATAGACTATAGACTCATACATTATACCATCAATGTTTTGTAACAATTGCTGCAAGTATAAACACTCCTGTATAGTTGCAGCTAATGCCATATACTCAGCCTCACATGTGGAAAGTGCAACAGTAGGCTGCCTTTTGGTCTTCCATGAGACCAACGGACCCTTTCTGTTTAGGCTAATGCAGTAACCTGTAGTACTCCGTCTATCATTAACATCTGCTGCCCAATTTGCGTCGATGTATGCATGTATAACGTTCTCATCTGCACCTTTCCTGTAACAGTTCTTTGTCTTTGGTGCCTGAAAATATCTCAAAACATGCTTTACAGTATTCCACTGTTCTATAGTTGGCTTATTGAAATATTGTGCCAGTTTACTCACTACAAAACTTAGGTCTGGCCTTGTACATGTTGCCAGGTAGATTAAGCTACCTACTGCTTCCCTGTATTTCTTGACATCACCCATTACATCAGCATTCTCAGTGTAATCTAGTTTCTGTTCACAAGGGACAGCTCTGGGTTTTACGGAAGTTCTAAGCGGCCATGCATTATTTATTTTTTCGCTTCTTGTTTTCTCGTTATAACGACTTATTTTCTCGTTATATCGACATAACGAGAGTTGTTTTCTCGTTATAACGACTTATTTTCTCGTTATATCGACATAACGAGAGTTGTTTTCTCGTTATAACGACTTAATTTTCTCGTTATATCGACATAACGAGAGTTGTTTTCTCGTTATAACGACTTAATTTTCTCGTTATATCGACATAACGAGAGTTGTTTTCTCGTTATAACGACTTAATTTTCTCGTTATATCGACATAACGAGAGTTGTTTTCTCGTTATAACCACTTAATTTTCTCGTTATATCGACATAACAAATTTTCTTTTTTGCATCAACACTCTGATACTAGTCATGCTAGCAGTTGGAGAAAAAGTCTCATCATAGTTTACACCTTTACACCTTTTGTACCCTTTAGCAACATATCGTGCTTTGTACTTATCCGATCCATCACTATTTTTCTTAATTGCATAGACCCATTTACCCCCCACTACTTCTTTACCATCAGGTAGGTTAGTCAGGGTAAATGTAACATTTTCTCTCAATGAGTGCATTTCCTCATCCATAGCCTTAACCCATTCATTTGCATTTACTGATGTTACAGCTTCTTTGTAGGTTTGGGGTACATTACACACAAGTCTGTAACAGTAATCAATATTAGTCACATCACCTTCAATACCACAAACATAGTCACTCAAATACGTTGGTCTTTTCCTGTCTCTTGCAGGATTTCTCCTTTCAGGTTTATCTTCTTCCTGTTGTGTTTGGTTACTATACACTACTGGTTCTTGAGTACTTTGTGAACTAACATCTGATTCTGATTTCACAGATTCTCTGATGGTGGTTTCAAAACCATCATCATC